TCCAAGTACTCAAACATACTAACAATTAAATAAGGTAAAGTAAAATCATGTTATATTATTTTCTCCCATAAATATATCAAAGATTTTGTTTTTAATTATTAATGTCCAATAATTATGAGAAGGCTAGGAGGAGTGTAAACTTGGACAGATTTTTTCAAATGTTTATCAAATGCAAAGGAAAAATAATCAATTAATTTTATTTCCAGAAGTTTATTATAAGAACCTTTGAATAGTTGAGAGCTAAAGAGTGATCTTCAAGAGTGTTTTCCATTATTTATAGTATCAAAATGAAAACAACATAGAAGTCATTTGTTTAAACTATGGTATGCCAATACAGTGGAATAGTATACAGACATTAAGGTAATATTATAGCTGATTATTCAATGACATAGATACTGAATTAAAGAATATTTTGTCCAGTTTAAAAAAAAATCAAATATTCTTAAATTCTTTGTCAAAATTGTGTGATCTGTAGATATTTAAAAGTATTATATAAATTAGTATCTCTTTAAACACTATGGAAATTTAGTCATATATATTCTATCTTACAATTTATTATAAGCATAATAAAACAAGTAGAACATCAGTATAATTGAAATAGTGTAACTTATGTAAGTATAAATTAAATTAAGCACATAGATGTATATTGCCATCTTTACCTGAAAAAGACATAAAATGGATAAGCTACCTATCTGTGGATTATAACTTTAATTTCATATGTTTTTATGTATGTAAATGATTGGATAGAATAAAATATAACTTAGGTTCATCTGATTTTCCTTTTTATAAGCTGATCTATTTCATTTGTTTATTTGTTCAGAATATATACATGATCCATCTATTGTGTGCTAAAACACAGTAGAATGGCGAACTGGGCTTTGACTGTGAGGATTTTTCATTTTAGAGTGTGAAAGAATGCCAGTGTTCAGCAGTGGTCAGTATGGGGTAGTTACATGGGAAAATTTACCTAATGTAACCTGTAGAAGAGAACACATCTTAGAAAAGATAACGCCTGATGAATGTTTTAGAGTATGAATAAAATTTAGTCTGGCAAACAGAAAAGGAAGGTCAGGGCAGACAAATTTTAAGAACTCATTCCATAGGAGTAAATAAGCAAGAATCTGCTGAAAATTCCAAACCTATGGTTTTGTTAAGAATTGAGTGTACATTAATCAGTTGAAGTGACAGGGCTTTTAGACAACGTCATGGTTAGATTTTCATTAAATAGGTCTCATGCTGGCATTTTGTCAGGTAAATTTGTCAGGACTGCATGCAAAGAGAGTAAACACAGAGGCTTTTAACCAGGAGGCCTCAGACCCCTTAAGGGGCTACGGATAGAATTTAGGAGGTCTTTGACCATGAATGCGAAAACATTACATTATCATTCACATTAATCTATTAAAATATGATTTTCATCAATTATTAATATAAGGGCTAAACCACAGTAATATTGGCAGTGACAGCTACACTGTTACCAATAGAAACCATTGATGTATTCATGTTACATCCCAGTTATGATGAATAAATATTATTTATCTATTTATTCTTTCATTTTTAATTGTGGAAAAAAATATGTAATATTTACCATCTTGTTATTTTTAAGTATACAGCTCAGTAGAGTTAAGTATAGTTTACATTGTTGTGTAATAGATCTACAGAATTTTTTCATCTTGCTAAACTGAAAACTTTTCATTTCCTAATTCCCCTAGTTTATGGTAATCAGTATTCTTCCTATGGTTTCTATGATTTTGACTACTTTAATACCTCATGTAAGTGGAATCATACAGTATTTTTGTGACTGGCTTATTTCACTTACCATAATGTCCTCAAAGCTCATCCATGTTGTAACGTGTCATAATTTCCTTCCTTTTTAAGATTAAATAATGTTCCATTGTATGTATATATGCCCCATTTTATCTATTCACTCATAAATGAACATTTGGGGTGCTTCCACTTTATAGCTTGAAAATAATGCTACTATAAATATAGGTGTGCAAATATCTTCTTGAGACACTGCTTTCAATTCATCTGGACATTTATCAAGTAGAATTGCTGGGTGATATGGTAGTTCTATTTTTAAATTTTGAGGAGCCACTATACTCTTTTCCATAGCAATTACACTATTTTATAATGATTTGGAGAGTTAAACAGTGCACAAGATCTTCAATTTTTCCACAATGGTGAATAAGTGTTCACCAACACTTATTTTCTACTAGTTTGATAGTAGTCATTTTAATGGTTGTGAGTTATATCTCATGGTTTTGATTTGCATTATTTAATAATTGGTGATGTTGAGTATATTTTCTTATGCTTTTTGGCCATTTGTATATTGTTTTTGGAGAAATGTTTATACAAGTCCTTTGCTCATTTCTGAATTGGGTTATTTGGGTTTTGTTGTTGTTGAGTCATAGGAGTTCTTTATATATTCTGGATATTAACCCCTGACCAGCTACATATTTTATAAATATTTTCTCCCATTCTATAAGATGCCTTTCACTCTGTTAATTGTGTCCTTCGATGCATAGAATTTTTTAAGTGTGGTGTAGCCCATTCTTTTATTCTTGCTTTTTTTGGCTATGGTTTTGGTGTCATATCCAAAAATCATTGTCAAGTCCAATGTCATGAAGCTTTTCCTCTGTATTTTCTTCTAGGAGTTTATAGTTTGGGGTTTTGTACTCAGGTTAATCTTTTTAAAATTAATTTTTATATACAGTACAAGATAAAAATCTAACCATAATTTTGTGCATGTGGATATCCAGTTTTCCCAATACCATTTGTTAAAGTGACTGTACTTTTAAAAATAACATGTATGCCAATCACTGCTTCAAAACTACATTACATATTAGTCCTATTACAATTTTTTATTTAATGTACTAATAAAGAAGCATGTTACTTTACCACATGTTTATTTTTAAAGATGTTAATAAATGTATTATAATATAATTTATTTTTCCTATAACCCTCTGTGATTTATTTTGTGAATTTATTGATTTTTACGATTTTATGAAATAAAACATTTATTTTTTGATTATTTATTAATTTAAGGATATGAGAAAATATTATAACAAGTATGCAAAATCCAGAAATAGGCAAATTCAGCATGATTTAGTGGTCATATAAATGCCAAGAACCAAGGAGAAGGGGAACTCAATGATGACTACCACATTTTTAGCTTGGATGACTGATTGGTTGGTGGTATGAAGTTCTGGGAGTCCTCAGTGTAGAAATTGCATTTAAAACCATGAGAATCCCTGTGATCATGCATGAGGAGAACACAGGGAAAAAACTGATTCAAGATAAAGCCATTGAAAACCAACAGGCAAATACCACCCAATTCGTTCTCATCAGCTATAGTGTCATGCAATATATACAATGTATCAACAAATAGAACTTGTATGTAAAGAATAAAACTTTGATAAGCAGTTGGTGGTTATTTTGAAAAGGACCATTCATTATGATTCTACTCTGCATTTTATAATTTTTGCACCTGCAATTATTTGCATGCAAAAACAAATGCAGCTACACTTGCCTAATTATAGGCACAGCCATCCAAATGTGCCCTCAAAAGAACAGCACAAAGGGATGCCATCTGTGAAAGTGCAGCAAACCCCTTAGACCTTTCCTGTTCCACATCTTGTAAGGCTGGTGGACACAATTCCCCTTGGCCTGTTTTGCTTTATTCTTGTCTGATCATATTCATGCATTATAGGATAGTCACTCTAATAGGCTGACAGTCAGTAGGCCTTTCCTTTTATCCAACATTATTTTCCCCCCCAAATATAAAATGTACCATAGTACAAGCAGACTGAAAAAGGAAGTCATTTCTGAATTTCATCATTTGCCTTGTTAGTGTGAACAGATACAATTTCTTATTCACATGTAATTTTACAAGGTAGGCAACATGAACACTGCAAAGATGAAATCTCATATAAATTTCTGCTTAGAGGTGAAAAGAAAATTATGTTACTCTACTTTCTTAAAAAAATTCTAGCCATTTATTAAAAACACAGCTGTCAGTTTGGATCAAATATATTCATATTTCCCCATTAGATCATTAGGACCATCATGAAATTTGATAACTGCCCCATGGAGCTTGATTTCCTATGAAAGTGTCATAACACAATCAGTACTATTGCAAATAATTATTGAACTATGTGAGGAGAGTTATGATTTCAGGTGGAAAATATATAGTAACAGATGAGAAATATAAAACCAGGGTTTCATGTGACAAAGATTCTGTTCTCATACAACTGTCAGTAATAATAAGTGTTAGGACAATGTATCCTGCTTTATGAAAATGAAACAGATTCCAAACAGAATAAGTTTCAGATGTTTTAATGATATTTCAAATACTACTTGCTTATCACTTAATCATATTAAACAGTTTGAATTTGATAAATCCTCTGTGGTAGAAACAATATATACTTTGAGAATGGGGAATTGGGTAGTTGTAATATATATTTATTTTATATGAAACCTATCTTTCTCCACTCTACTTACAGTATTTGAAATTGTCACAAAGTATTGCCATGAAGGTTTTAGGGGCACATGAAGGCTTAGGAATTCTAAAATGTTCACTGGTTGGTCTTTTTTATGTAAGAAGTTAAAGTGAATAAGAAGGTAATTTTTGTTGTTCTGCCTTTCTCTTGGTAGTGTATGTATCACATTGAAGCTGTATTTAGACATCAGCCTTAAGTTGATGAACAATGGGGAATATGTTTAGGCATTTAGATCCTGTGGTGCGTAGACACTGGAAGTATGGTAAAGTAGCTTAGACTTCACAAAAAGAACCATGTTAAGAAAATGAGAATTTGTAAAGGGGAAGTATCATTCCAAAAATAAAAATAATTAGAAATAAAAGATTGCTCTATCATATATATAACTGAACATTTCAATGAATACAATCAAAATTTAAAATATTATTAATGGGATGATAAACATAAGCCATTCATTTTCACAGAAGTAGAGGAATATTTTGAGACATTAAAAAGGCTACTCACATCCTGAGCTACCGTTTGTTGACACCAGAGTCAAGTTGGAAGGCCATGGATTCCGAACAATATCTTGCCAATGAATTGTGTCTGTGTAACAGAGAAATTTGTTCTGGTCTACATAGACTCCACCATTTAGGATTTCTGTATTAAAAAAAACGAACAGATATTTATTGTCAAACTTTTTGTTGATAAAATGGTAGTCAATAAAAATGTTTTAGTCTTAAACTATTTTCAAAAATAAATTACTTAGTCACTGTGATGTCCTTTAAAATACATTTTATTGAGTCATAAAGATATAAAGTCAAAGGCATAAACTGGGAAAGATAGAAAAATACAAAGAAAAACAACCATTCATAATCTAAACACTAAGAAAGAAACACTCCTGACATTGTGGTATAGATGCTTTTAATCTCTTTTCTAAGTTTTTTTCCTCTGAAATTGTAATAACATTGCATAAACTGTTTAATAACCTTCTAGTTTTATATAATATTACATGGTGAGTATTTTATGCTAATTAAATATCATTCTACATTATTTCTAATAAGAATACAATGTACCAGAGTGTAAATTAAATAGTATTTATCCAACCAAACCCCTCCTGCTTATCATTTAACTTATTTATCTCTCTTAACAAAAATTGTTTTAGTCAATGTGACATTGACTACAGTCAGCAGGCAAGTAATTACCACAAAATGGAAGCTACGGTTAATGTAAACTTTTTAAATAATCACCTTAAGCTGAAGAGGGAGATAAAAGAATAAATAAAACATGTGATGTCCTAAAGGGGGTGTTTGTGAAAATAAGATTGGTGGGCACATCTAAAGAGCCTTATTGTGTTGCATGTGTAAAATCCTCCAGATTAATTTTGACATTGTAGGTTTTCCACATTTAAAATCACTCCCATTCCCATTAGCCCTTCCACCTACTATTAGTTCCATTTTCTCAGGCGAGAGGAAAAAAAGAGACAAAAAGAAATTAGATCATCTTTTTACTTCTAAAACCTAGTATATTATTTTCCATGACCTAATCATACAGCCTTCATCAAAGCAGAAGGGAGATGTAAGACGTAAGAAAGATTGTGAAAGTGGATTTCTACATTAATATTTGGCATTAAGTTTCTATCTAAGAAATGTGGCGATCTCATCTAATAGCTTTCTCATGAGACATTAGATGATGCTCTTCTGCTCTAGGAATAATTCTTCATTAGGTGACAAAGAAAGGAGATTTTGACTGCTATCCAGGAAATGAAGGTTATTTTTCAGTCTACATTTGGAAAAGTTCGACTTAGAAAAAAAAAAAAGTGAAGAAAAAAGGTAATAGCTCAAACATTATAGAAACGGTATTTGTCAGGAGTCACATTTTAATTCAAATATTTCATACTGAAGGAACACAGTATCCATCTCCAACTTCCTATCTAAAAATATTCAAACAGAATCAGATTATATTATACTGAATAATAATCTCATCAAATGCCTTTCCTAAACATATTAATCTGCTACCAACATTGACATTTGTTTCTTAGAAATATTCTGTTCAAGAGCTTGGTTTATACTTGGAAAAGGATTTAGAAAGCAGGCAATAATAATTCAAGTATAGTCTTACATGTTAAAATTATAAATTAAGAGTATAATCATGATCAATCTTGACGATACTTCTATTATCCTTATTTCAAAACCCAGCATCTGCTAGCAATTCTAGTCAGGAGGATTTATACATTTTTAGTATTTAATGATGGATAGTTTATTTGGGTATGTGTGCATTTTCCCTAAAAATAGTTCTTTTCCCTTTATGTTTTGCTTAAATCCGATTCTGTTGTTGAATGTCAAAACCCCATAATCAGAAAATGTGGATTTTATGTGTCTTTATAGGAGAGTTTTAATATATACTTTATCTTACATTTTCTTCTGATCAACTTGATTACCTAAACATATCTCAGGAAATAATGTTGAAATTACATTTATTTGTGTATATAGCTTACATTGATTTTAAAACTGTATACAAATTTTAAAATACTAATTTAGCATGCTTTTGTGGGGAAATTATTCAGTTAGATTTACTTCTAGACTCAGAAAATTCTAGGGAAAAGTACTGACCTATAAGAAAGTCTTTACAGACTCAGGTTATTCACTGGTCAAAAAGGGAAAACTAATGTTTCTGACTTGGTTGAATATGCTGGCTTCTCTGCATTTTTAGATTAGAAAGAGGGACAAGGATTAGAAAGAGAAAAGCTTGGTAAGATATTTATCCAAGAAGATATTAGAAAAATGCCTGGCTGTGTTTTAGATTTGACTTTGCCAATTCACAAGAACAGCAGAGCTTTCCATAGTTTTATTAAATATTCATTGAAGATACCATCTGTATTACATCAAAAGCTTCTCTCACACCAGCATGAAATAAAGTGATTCACAATTACATTTTTAAAATTTAATTATTAAATTAAAAAAAAGACAATTTCTAATTCTAAGAAGACAGGCAAATGAGACACAAATTTAATATTTGAACAAAGATGCATAAAGCCTGGAAGAATGAAAAGACAAAAAATATGATGAGTAAATAAATGAGCTCAAGATAATCTTATTCCATTGTATTTCACTTCCCACTATAGGAAATTGATATCAGAGTAAATTAAATTAGACACAAATAGATTCTTAGTTATTGTTAACAATTGGTAGAAAAAAAGTTGCTATGAATGTTTTTATCGTATAAAAATATTTCTGGGGAGTTCACAAAACAGAACTTTGTCTTCTTAATGAATGTCATGATTAAATATATTAAGATACATTAAATATGACATTCTATGAAAAAGTATCATTTCATTACTAAAAAATTCCAGTAAACACTTAAAATATGTTTGTGTCTGAAACATTTCCTACTAGATTAATGCATCCAAGTTGAGTAAAACATGTAAGGAATCTTTTTGTATTTAAACCATAATTCATACTACTCTCCAGTATGTTGAGTATAACATATATAATGCATGATTTATAACTGAAATATTAGACTAAACTTCATGAAGGCAAGGCACATTTTAAGATGCTATAGCATATAGCGTATACATATAGCATCAAACTGGAGCAATAGGTATTCAATAACAAAACTAAAAAAAAAATGTACCATGGAATTTCCACTACATTGATCAGTTAACTTCTTTTGTAGTTCCTAATTTTAAATTATATTCTGACAATATCAAAGGTAGAATGAAAGTTACCTTTTTCCATAAACTCCCTATAGTCATCTTAACGAGTTCATATTTCATTGTTAGTGGTCATATTTGTTTTGTTCAAAACTGTATCCCCCGTGTTTTGCACTATGCGAGGCACAAGCCAGATACACAATAAATATTTGCTTCATAAATGAAAATATAATTATCTGGAGTATAGGAAAACATATTTTGAGTGGAGCAATAAATATATAATATCTTGAGTAGTAGAAAAAAATGTATATATAATTTTGAGGTTAGAGTTTTTATAAGCTGAAAGAGAAATAACTTTTATTACATAAAGTGCTTATAATTGATAATGTGCAAAATTACTGCAGGCATTATGCTTGATATTTATAATGTACCTTTAGAGATTTTCACTGGTATCCCTAAGCCTATTTTGTGCACCAAATTCAATTATTATTATCAAGTGAATGATGATTTTGACCTATCCCAGGCAGGCCAAATTTCCTGAAACCTGTTCAAATTATCTAGCATATGCTACACTAAAGTCTAAAAGCATGTTTTTATACTGAAAACTGTGACACTACTTCAGATCTTTCCTTAAATTATTTTTTATAAAGGTGTAAAGGGCCAAAATGACATTTTAAAGAGTACATAAAGTACTTGTGTCTCAGCCTTCTAATCCATAAAGATTGTTCATTTGAGCATTTCTGCCCTCGATTGCCATTTGCATGAATCTAATGAAGAAGGAAATGTTTGTGTTACTTAAATAAGTTCTTTTGTACTGTTCATCTCTTTTCAAATGCTAGTTATTAAAGTGAATTTGGGGATGAGTAACCATTAAGAGAATCACTGACATTTTACAAATATATTCTCTCAAAAGAAAATGTGATAAAACACTGAGTCACGGCTTTTTTCTACCTGTCCTGTATGAAAATAGCTAAATTGTGATGTAACACCCCTGCTGAAAATACAGTTTAATATGCCCTCCTTACTAGGTTTAAGAGTAGCCAGAATTACTTTGACCCCATGCACAATTTGTAACCATTTTATAAATAAGATTGAATGTCTTTCTCTCTTTACAAAATAAAGATTATAATTTTAAATATGGTTAGTCATATTCCACTTTAGTTTATATGATCCATATCAATAGAAAACATTTTACTTCTCCTCACAAAGCTACCACACACAATAGTATAAGGAAGATCTAATACACAAGAATGAAATATTTAATCTTAGTTCCTGGTTGTATATCTAAATGTCTCGGTGGCATGGGTGCATCTACAGATTAACCTTAGAATTAACGTGATAATGAAAATAAAGATCAGAGATATTGCATTTGTCTAATTATAGTGGAGATGCCTGAATAATGCATGTATCTTTATTGCCTTTCCAAGCAAAAGGTCACAATCAAGAAGTCAAAATCCAAAGCGGCAAAAGCCCATTTTCAAGATGAAGCTACAGGAAGTTGTTATTGATTTTCTCAGACATAAAGCAATGTATCTTTCTCACTGTCATCACCTTAAGCCACACAAGTCTGTTGGCAGATAATGATACAAAAGTACTATAGCTCACATCATCCACCTCTGACACTTAATACATCATCTCTGGAATGGACTTAGTCTAGAGATTCCTGTATCTTTCCCAAACCCGGACCTTTCAGCTGGGAGCACAATGAATTGCTGCAACCCCACTGGGTCAGCCCTCAAGGTTCATTATTAATAAGCTCAGACTCTAAAGGCTAATGGGAACCCGGTGCTTGAGGAGACAATGGCTCATTCATCATCAATCAAGCTTTGAAGTTTTTATACAGATGATTTAAGGAGAGTTGAAGTGTGCAAAATTGAAATGTCACATTTGTATTGGGAGTGGGGAAAGGGTGATAATGTAAATGAGTGATGTAACCTTCTGTATTTCAGCTTGATGATCAGAGTCAAAAGCTCATGGATGCGGATACTGAATGTTAGGAAGTGGACAG